TGAGGCAGTGGTAGAGGCAGCAGTTGAGGCAGTGGTATTTAATAACATATATGTTATTAATAATAATAGTACATGTTATTATTAACCCTTTGACTGTTTCAGGCCCCTCTCTGAAACTGTCATTCTATGTCGCCAAATATTTGAAAAAAAAACAATTATTTTTTCTTATGAAAATGTTAAGATTATTTTTCTGAGTGTTTTTTCCAAAAAAAAAAAATTTTTCATCATACTACCGAATACGGAAGGCCCCGCTTTACAGCGTTTCACTTTACGGCATTCAAATACGGATTTTTCAAATTATGACCAAAACTCCCGCTTTCGGCCCCCCCCCCTGATTTAAAAATACGGTCACCGGGCCCCCCCCCTGTTTGTTTACTTCTCCATGAGCTCAGAACACTAACTCTCCATTTAGCTGGAAACCCAAAAATTTTTCAAAATTTTTAAAAAAGTTATTTCAATTTTTTATATACTCTGTATTTACTTAGTATACCTGACCTAAAATAAATTACATACTGTGTGGCATGCAGGTACACATTAAAAATTGGTAAGTGTCTTATTCCCTCCAACGCATATTAAAAATAAAAAATAAATCCGGTCATTTAAATGCTACTTTACGTTAAATACACTTTTTCTTTAATCCATCCATGATATTTTTTTTTCAAAATTAAAATAAACACGAGCATAACAAATAAATAAGATAAAAAACACCCCACATTAGAAAAATAAACAAAATGTGAGAGGGGTTAGCAACGACTTGCACAAGGGGGCCCTATTAGAAATAATAATAATAATAAAACAATACTCCCCGAGTCTCATTAAATTCGTATTTTACGGAATAACACATTTTCTTAATCCCCATGATATTTTTTTAAAATTTATATAAAAACACGATGCTAACATAAAATAAAAAAATCACCCCACATAGAAAAAAATAAACAAAGTGAGATGTGGTAGCAACGACTTGCCAAGTGACGCCAATTAAAATATAATAATAAAAACAATACTCACCGTTTTCCCATTAAATTCGTATATTGGGTAAATAAAATTTTTTAATTAATCCACCATATATTTTTTTTAAAAATTTATATAATAAACATACATAACATAAAAAGATGATAAATCACCCCACATAGAATAATAAACATTTTTAAAGATGTGGAGCCACTAACTTGTACAAGTGAGGGCAAGAATAAAATTTTTTTAAAATCAAAATAAGAAAAATGTTTTACTGGGGAACTGAGAAAATTATTCCTTTCGTATTATGAAATTTTTTTCGGTATCACAAATACAGTTACATAGATTATCATAAAAACAACATCGGTGGGAAACCTGGGAAAACCCAAAAAAATTCAGGTGTTTTTCCATTCCCTTACCAGACCATTTCTTCTCAAAATGATTACTGAGAAGGGGAGTGTTCTTTTTTATTAATTCTACTGTATAAAGAGAGACAACCCTTACACATTAACTTTACAAAACCAGAGGGTTTACACTTCTTTTGTTAAAAAACTTACGTTCGCCTGTTTGTTTACAAATTTGGGCCCCCTGTCCCCTCTCATTACTCTTTCTTTCCCCTTCTAATTTATTTGTTTTATCTCATTTATTTATTCCGCCCCTCTTAAGACAAAAATTTTAAGGTAAAAATGAGTAAACGATATACATTTTATTGCTTGGATGTTTAAATATCATAGAATTATGTGTGGGTGGGGTGGCCGGTAAGGTCCTGGCTATTACCATCATCCCACACTTGATTTTTAAAATAAATCTACTTTTTTCACCCAGATTAAGACTATAAATATTTTAAGGTAAGTAATGAGTGCACTAGTTGTATTGTACTTTTTTTTTTTTTTTTTTGAGCCTGGTTCTTTGCTAATTAATAATGGGAAAACTTTTTATCTAGTGTTGTATGTTTTAAATGGAAAAAAGGGTTTTCCCTTTACGGCGGTTTCCGCTTTACGGCGGTAGCCTGGAACCAACCTGCCCTATAAGGGGCCCCCTGATAAGCCCCTGAAAATTTGCAGAAATGAGCGGTTTGGGAACCGGGGCTGCCCCCACCGGTAAAACTTTTAGTTTACTTGATTTGAAGGTTTTTTGTTTTTTCACTATTTTTATTTTTTCCAAAAACTTTTGTGGCCTAAGACCCAAAAAAAGGGCAAAAGTACATATTTACACCGTTGATCAACACAAAAAGCCACAAACAAAAAAAAAAAAAATATTGTTTACAAAAATTGTTTACAAAAAACCCAAAATACAAAAAAAGTTTATTTCTATTGTTCTATAAAAACCAATATACGCCCAACATATTCCCAGAAGTTTTGCAGCTTGTGGGAAACCTTGAAACTTGTCTACACAATGGTGTTTTACCTCCACACATAAAACCAGTGTGTGGGATTTTTTGGACTTTTTTTTATGTGAAAAAACAAAACACCTCGTCTGAGCAGTTTTCTGCAAAAATATTAGCACAGTTGTGTTACGTAGTTACCAGGTAAAGGGGCGTGTGTCATTCCTTCCATCCCACTTTTGATGACTCCTCCTTCCCTTTCCTTTTCCCTTTCCCCCCTTTCCCTTCTCCCCTCCTCCTGCTTTTGTGCAGTGTTGGGGCTTATAATTGTTTTGAGTCGAAGTCGCAGCGTCAAAGTGACAATTGCCCCATTTTCCCCCCCCTCCCGCTGTCAAAACAATGGGTCGGATGCTGCTTCCCCTCCTTCTATCTAATTATTTCCCTCATTCATCTCTTTCAATCTGTCTCTCTCTTTCTCTCTTCGTCTATCTCTGTCTCACAGGAACACAAAAAAAGTATAAAAGTGTAAATTTTTAGGTAAACCCAAAAAATCCCGACAAAGTCTATACCTGCTTGAAGAGGATAAACGTGATGATTACACTTCTTGTGGCTCTTCTGAGAAGAGAGCTAAAGGACAAAAGGGGGCTTGAGAGACAGACAAATAGACAGACAGAAATTTTGTTTACCCGCAAAAACAAAGGGGGGGCGATGGTCATTAATTTCCCCATCCTCCACCCTCGTTTACGCTCATCAAAGTAGCCTTATCAGATTTATTCCCCTTATCTTTTCACGCATTGGGGTGGACTTTTTTTTTCTTGCTTTTAAGGAAAAATATTATTCATCATCTTCTTTTTCTTCCCCTCCTCTTTCCCCCTCCTCCCTCCTCCTCCTCCTCCTCCTCCTCCTCCCCTCCCCTCCTCTTCCTCCCCTCCTTCCCCTTCCCCCTCCTCCTCTTCCTCCCCCCTCCTCTTCTCCTCCCCTCCTCCTCCCTCCTCCTCCTCCCCCCTTCCCTTTTTCCTCCTCCTCTTCCCCCTCCCCTTCCTCCTCCTCCCCCTTCCTCCCCCTGCTTTCCCCTTCCTCCCCTCTTCTCCCTCTTCCCCCTCCCTTTTTCCCCCTTTTTCCTCTTCTTTCCCCCTCCTCCTTTTTTTCCTCCTCTCCCCTTCTCCCCTCCTCTTCCTCCCCCCCCCCTCCCTCCTCTTCTCCTCCTCCCCATTGTTTTTTTCTCAAACTCCCGACATCATGAAATGATTTCATGACCTTTTATCTGTGTTAGAGCATCACTGGGAAGAGAAGAGTCCAGTTTGCTGGGAATCACATTTTTCTTACGTAGCATGCTGAAAAAGGACAACTGAAATGCATTCCCCAAAAGCAAACCACTGGCTCCCCGATTTTTTTTATATGGTGCACACTGACCATGGAGACCCATTCTCTCACATGTGGGTCTACCAGCTTTCTCCTGCTTGATTTGAAGCTGCTAGAATTTATGCGTATAAATACGTCAGAAACATTGGCTCGTAAGACGTATTTATACGTCGGAAACAGTCAAAGGGTTAATAACATGTATTATTATTATTATTAACATGTTATTAATTACCACTGCCTCAACGACTGCCTCAACCGCTGCCTCAACCGCTGCCTCAACCGCTGCCTCAACTGCTGCCTCAACCGCTGCCTCAACCACTCCAGTCGCACTCAATCTACAAACACCAAACACAATGAATTATTGTGAAATGTTTGGAAGAGTGTGGAGACTAACGCTCACTCCAGCATAAACAAAGCCACACTGACAAGGCCTCAACCACTTCCTCCACCACTGCTTCAACCCTCATATTTTTGTACAATTTCCTTCTTCACCTCTATCATATTACGTATTATTATTATTATATTATTATTATTATTATTATTATTATTATTATTATTATTATTATTACTACTATTGTTATTATTATTATTATTATTACTATTGTTATTATTAGAAGTAGCAGAAATGTTTGATTCTTTGCTGTGTTCAAGAGTAAACATATGATGTCAACGTCCAATACCTGTCCGAATAGCCATTCCAATATGCAGTCATGAATGGATTTACATTATTTATACTGTAGTTTAATAGCAAATAATGAACAAACAAAACACTCACCACACAGTGGTGGGAGGGCTGGCTGCCAGTTGCGGGGGTCGGAGGGAGAGTAGTAGGGACTCGCAGGTGGCGGGAAACTTAAATATGATTTGGCGGCTGGGAATTTGGCGGCTGGGAATTTAGCGGTTGGGAATTCGCGAATGTGTGAAGCCCGCGAATGTTGAGGGAGACCTGTACATTATTTAGGGATGCATACTGGTTAGAGAGCTGGTCATAAGTCCGAGTGGACGGTAAACGAGTACATCACTGAGGAGAGGCTGTATACGTGAGTGAATGAATCAAGATGTCTCCACATTTGGGGGGAGGGGGGTGCTGGTGGGGGGTGGATTGTGCTGGTGGGGTTGAGTGGATGGTGCTGGTGGTGGGTGGAAGAATGGTTGGTCCTGGTAGATATGTCATTTTTATCTCCCTTGAAAAATTTGCAGCCTCAGTCTGCCAGCCCTGGGTCAGATGTAGCAGAAGGTTCCATAGAATTACTGGCCAATAATTTTAATATGATCCAGTACTGTATAATAAACATTTACTTTGTTTTGTCTTAGGGCTAAAAACTACAAGCCAGTTGCTTGGGGAAAAAAAAAAACTTACCCATTTGAAACAAGGTGCCCAGAAGAACACAGTTTTGGGACCTGTGAATTGAAAATAAATATATAAGTGCTATCTTAAATTACAAGGCTTTGCTTAGAAATCACCTCATCTCCCAAAATTAAAAACACAAACACTATATACAGCAGGGCCCCGCTTTACGGCGTTCCGCTAATACGGACATTTCAAATTATGACCAAAACTCGCTATACGGCTCCCCCCACCTGTCTTTCTAATACGGTCACAGCGGCCCACCGAGTTTGTTTACATTCTCCCTGAGCACATCTCCTTATTATGTCTGGAAACTTTCCAAAATTTCAAGTGTTTTAAAGTTATTGTATATTTTATATGTATTGTACTTGATAATTAAACTTGTGTACACCTGTACCTAAATAAACTTACACACTGTGCTGGCATGTAGGTACACATTAAAATCACTAAGAGTCTCTCTACTCTTGATGCAATAATAATAATAATAATTAAATAATAATAATAATAATAATAATAATAAATAATAATAATATAAAAATAATCTCTTGGGCGCATTAATGTCGCATATTACATTAATATAGACATTTCCCTTAATCTATCTATGATATTTTTTTCAAAATTATATAAGAAACACATTATGTAACACACAAACATGATACATCCACCCACAGTATAAAAATTTACACAAATATATATGAGATGTTTACCAAACGGTTTGTAGAAGTGTCGGAAGAATTACGTTTTCTCTAGCCCGTCACCTGTTACTAGGGATAACTGTAGAAAAATATTCCTTTCGTATGCCTTCACTTTATAGCTATTCACGACCCTTGTGGGTCTAGCACTTCTTTTTTATTATGATTATAATAATAATAATAATAATATCATCATTCACTCTAAAAATGGTGTGTTGCATGAGAATAGGAGTGTTGCTGTTTATAATTCTGTACTAACTTGTACACAGTGTAAGAGCATTTGCTTCGTGATTTAATTATTATAATAATAATAAAAATATTATAAGGTAAAAGTTTCACAAACTCTTACAAATGTACATGAATGAACTAAAACTGGACACGTATTAATACAGTCTATTTCGCCTGACCGAGTGATCGTCCACAACCTGCTCAGTTTGTTTTTTTACGCTGTCTGAGCTCGGTGTATCTCGTTCTCTCTCGTTTGCTCTTCGTTAACTAATTGGCTCTCGTTGACGATGGCATCTAAGCTTAGTTGTGATAAAAAGAAGAGTCGTAAGCCTCTTACTTTAAGTGCCAAGTTAGAAATGATTAAACTTAGTGAACAAGGTATGTCAATGACTGAGATAGCACGTAAGCTTGGTTTGGCTCGTCAAACAGTTAGTACAGTTGTGAACAATAAGGAGAAAGTGTTGCAGGAAGTTAAAAGTGCTACACCAGTGACCACTAAAGTTATAAGAAAACGTGATAACCTTATTGCTGACATGGAAAAACTTTTAACCCTTTGAGGGTCGACAGGCCCTCTCCGAAACTCGTTCTCAGGGTCAGCCAAATTTAAAAAAAAAAAAAATTATTTTCTCTTATGAAAAGATAGAGAATCTTTTCCCGATCATAAAGACACCAAAAGTTTGAAATTTGATAGAAAACTTACGGAATTATGCTCTCGCAAAGTTAGCGGTCTCGGCGATGTTTACGCATCGGCGATTTTGCCCACTTTGAGCCCCATTTTCGGCCAATTTCACTGTACTAGTCGACAAAAAACATGAATATTTCGCTAGAACTCCATTTTTTTCTATCGAATGGGTGCAAGAAACCACTCATTTATGAAATTCAACTATCCAGTACAGTGGTCAGAATTTAGCAATTTTGCCAATTTCACACAAATTTCAAAAGATGCCAATTTCCGAATAGGGTCCAGAATAAACAAGAAAGACATTCCTGGCACTAAAACGACATTTCCTCTAGTCATTAGTCACGTCTCAAGGCCCCTCTTATATTCTTTTGCTTTCCACTTTGAATTTTTATTTTCACAAAAAATATAAGATTTACTGTTATGCAGACTACTGCATTAGTGTAAAAAATGGTATAAATATTATTGGTGCACTTGTGAAAGAATATTAGACTCACCAGTTGACGTGTATTGCACGCTTGGCACGATTTGTTTACTTTTGAAGTTTGGTAAAAATCGAACATTTCTGCTACTTTGAGCTCAATTTCAAGGCACCTTTCTTTGTAAAACCAGTCAAAATCATCTCAATTTCTGTAATATGCCTTCCATTCTATAAAATGAGACCAAGAAAACTAGAATACAACAATAAATACCATACGAAAATACACTGCAAAGTCGCTGATTTATTAAAAAAAAATGGTCAAAGTTTTTTTTTTCTCATTATGCACTGTGTGCTGCAGGATTTTTTTTAGACTGTGCACACTGACCACATAGACCCATTCTTTCATATGAAGGCCTACCAGCTTTCTCCCACTAGATTTGAGGCCGCTAGAATTTATGAGTACTAGTACGTCAAAAACCCCTACGCGTAAGACGTACTAGTACGACGAAAACCCTCAAAGGGTTAATGGTGTGGATTGATGATCAGACTAGTCACAATGTGCCTTTAAGCAGAGCCATTATCCAGTCCAAAGCCCTAAGTCTCTTCAATTCTATGAAGGCTGAGAGAGGGGAGGAAGCTGCTGAAGATAAATTCTCAGCTAGCAGAGGCTGGTTTAATAGGTTTAAGGAAAGAAGTCAACTTCACAACATCAGAGTGCAGGGTGAAGCTGCAAGCGCTGACAATTTAGCTGCAGAAAATTATCCACGTGAACTAGCCGAGATAATAGAATGTGGTGGATATACCAAGCAACAGATTTTTAATGTGGATGAGACTGCATTATTTTGGAAGAAGATGCCATCTAGGACATTTATTGCTAAGGAAGAGAAGTCAATGCCTGGCTTCAAAGCTGCAAAAGACAGGCTAACACTCTTGCTAGGAGCTAATGCAGCTGGTGACTGCAAGTTAAAACCTATGATGATTTATCACTCAAGAGAATCCTAGGGCCCTAAAGAACTATGCAAAAGGCAGCCTCCCAGTTTATTATAAATCTAATTCGAAAGCTTGGATGACTGCCAATCTTTTCATAAGTTGGTTCACGGACTATTTTAAGCCTACAGTTGAGGCTTACTGCAAGGAAAAGAAAATTCCTTTTAATGTTTTACTTGTTTTAGACAATGCCCCTGCCCACCCTACAGCTCTACATGGTATGTACAGGGAGATAAATGTTGCTTTTATACCTGCAAACACAACTTCATTACTGCAGCCGATGGACCAAGGTGTAGTTGCAGCCTTTAAATCTTATTACCTAAGAAGAACTTTTATTAAGGCTGTAAATTTCCTAGACAGTGATAAAATGCCTGGGCCTAAACAAAATAAATTAAAAACCTTTTGGAAAGGTTTCACAATTTTGGATGGCATTAAAAATATTAGAGATGCATGGAATGAAGTTAATGAAACTACACTCAAAGGTGTTTGGAAGAATCTGATTCCTGAACTTATGGATGATTTTGAAGGTTTTGAGAATCCAGTGGGGGAAGTGTGTGTAAATGTTGTTGATATGGCAAGGGAATTAGAACTGGAAGTGGAGCCTGAGGATGTGGAAGAATTGCTTCTCTCTCATGATGAGGCTCTGACAGACCAAGACCTTCTTCTGATTGAAGAGCAAAGAAAGAAATTTCATGAAGAGGAGATTCATCCTGATGATAGTCCTGTTACCATTAAAGAAATGAAAACCCAGGATTTGGAAGAAGCTATCAACCATATAAAAATAGCAATGGCAATTTTTGAGAAGATTGATCCAAATTTTGAACGAAGTTCAACAATGAATGCAACCCTTTCCCATGATGTTACATGCTATAAAGAAATTTTAAGGGAAAGGAAAAAAAAAATCCATGAGGCAAAGTTCAATGCTTTCCTACTTTAAGAAAATATCATGGCAACCTTCAACATCAACAGCCAGCCTTCAACAGCCTTCAACATCAACAGCTAGCCTTCAACAGCCTTCAACATCAACAGCTAGCCTTCAGCAGCCTTCAACATCAACATACACCCCTTCAAAAGCTTCACACACGTCTCCAAAATGAATCAAATTAGTTGAAGAATTAGAGGATGATGGTCTGCCATCTCATGATTTGATTCAATAACTACATTGCCACTCACCTCTCACACATTCATATTAAGTAATTAAAGGTATGTAATAAATGTACTGTGTGTAATTTTACTTTTCATTGCTTTTTTTAATGCTTAGTTCTATTGCTAATTTAATATGTCAGTGTAAATACGTTATCTAGCATTTATATGCATTTACAAGGAAAATAAAAGGGTGTTCCACTTTACGGCGGTTTCCGCTTTACGGCGGTAGCCTGGAACCTAACCTGCCGTATAAGTGGGGCCCTCCTGTATTTTCACCACCAACTCAAAAATTTTCAAATATATATAAGATTATTTCAAAACTAAAATGGTCTCAATCTCATTACGTAAAATGTTAATTCAATTACAGTAGAGCCCCGCTTTACGGTGTTTCGCTTTGCGGCATTCCACTAATACAGTCATTTCAAATTATGACCAGAACTCTCTATATGGCTCCCCCCACCTGACTTTCTAATATGGTCACTGCACCCCCCCCCCCCAGTTTGTTTACATTCTATATGAGATCCATAAGCACTATGTCTCTCCATTATGTCCGGAAACTCCAAAATTTCAGGTGTTTTTAAAAATTATTTCATATTTTATATATACTCTGATAATTATACTTATGTATACCTGTACTTAAATAAACTTACACACTGTGCTGATGTGCAGGTACACATTAAAATCAGTAAGAGTGTCCTATGTCTCGAGACAACATACAGTGGAACCTCTACTTACGAGTTTAATCCATTCCATTTAAATTAATTGAAATGGAATTAATTCGTTCCAGTGGAATTCCAAGCATGAGAAAATACTTCACTAATTTCCCTAATATCTATCACAATTCATGTAATATGACATAAACAATATTAATAACATAGAAACATGATATATACACTAGAA